AGCATCACAGCTGTGGTCAGCTAATGTGAACTGTGGACACAGCATCACAGCTGTGGAGGACAATGTGACCTGTGGACACAGCATCACAGCTGTGGAGGAGGCTGAGCTACTGAGGAGGTCTGATAAGATTAGAACACATGGAGGACAGACCTGAGTTAATAACTGTATAATGGTTAATAAAGAAACATCCTTACTAAAAAAAAAACACTGCAGTTTTTAGGGGTCAAGACGATATTATCTACAATTCACATTCATAAACGTACAGAGAGAGAACCATGACAAACCACAAAGCCAACTTTTGGGAGCCCATGACTCCACAATGAAGGATAAGGAAACCCTTTACACTACACTTGCAATCTTCACAATGCTGCAAATCTCAGTGACAACTTCAGGGAAGGCAAGCTTACATTTCTCAGTGCTTCATACACGGCTCTGAAGGCTGGCTGCTTGTCATCATGGTAAACACCTCTGTTTCCATGAAGAATGAAGACCCCTTCCTCCTCTGCTCCTCGGCAGTTGCTCCCATAGATGCAGTGGTCTGGTCGGTAGTTCCACTGGCACGGGAAGACAAAAAGGCTTTCTACAACGAAGAGAGCCAACGACAGGAAAGCGGTAAAACACAATGGAACTGACAGAATTAACACTTGCAAACATTTTGGCTAAAAATTAAACTTGGTACTTAGATTTCTCCAGCCAAATCACCATTCAAGTCTTATTCTGCCTCAAATGAAAATACCGACAAACATTAATATAAGCAAAAATCAAAGAAACGTGTTTCCCACGGTACCAAGAACTGAACTGAGGGCATTGTATACGCTAAGCAAGCACTCCCCCAGGGAGCTAGGCCCAGCCCCGTGGTTCTTGCTTTCGGATTTTCAATGTGATTGTTTTTACAAATGCAAATAATAAAAGGAATTTAGATGGTTACCTGGATTATGGAAGAACATGATATTTAACAGGTCCTGGTCACCCCATGTGATGTTCAGTTTGTATTTTTTAAGCAATGGCATGAGTATGTCACCCCACTGCAGCCGGGCGGTTGTCATGTCATTCTGTCGATAAAGCATTGAAGAATCTTAGCATTCAGGGTTAAGCAGCAGCATGACAGTCCCCGTTCTTCCCTTAGCAGCCATCACGAAGCCACAAAGAGAAAGGGGAGCCCTCTGCTGCAGAAGCGTGTGTCACTGACCCCCCACATCTGAGGGGGGCTGCCAGCGTGAGAAGGGCGGCAGCACGGGAGCAGACAGCAGTGATAACCGAGACAAACGAAAGAGAGGCGTGGAGGACAGCTCACCCCCGTCTTCACTTAAGGTAAGGACCAGGAGAAGTGCTTTCTGTTTTGTTTTGGGGGGACAAGGTTTTGCTATGTAGTGCAGAGCTCATGACCTTCCTGCCTCTGCCTCTGGAATGCGAAGATTACAGACTGCACCATCACACCCATCTTTGAAAGGTGACAGTTTGGTAAGGCAAGGTCGCTGAAGACATCACTGGCGCCCTATCTGGGGTAAGGGGACATCTGTTCACACAGCAGCCCAGCCTTTCACTGAGGCAGTCACCGAGGGTCTTGTCACGCATTCCCCTCAGACGGTGGGGGAACTACTGGACCACAAGGACACAAAATTCATTAAGTTTTCATTCTTTGCTCTTTAATTCCAACCCACTCCAATCTATTTTTGACAAGCTTATTGCTCTTTTTTCCTTTTTCAATACACAATCTTATGTAATCCAGGCTGGCCTCAAACTCGTGGCCTAAAACCTCTTGCTTCTCTGTGCCTCCTAAATGCTGGGGAAGAACAGTTTTCCAGTGTTAAAATTTTACTTGTGTTTTATTTATTAATTTCCAATAATTTCTTTAAACTTCTAATTGTAAAAGAAACAGTGGTCCTGGTTTAAAAAAAATAGGTGCCAGACACTCTACTGAGCACTTCTTACCATCTACCACAAAGACATAAACACTAAACCTGAGTCCATTTTAAGGACACAGTCTTCATCATAAAACGTACACATGTATGTGTGTACATGTGCATGAATACACATATATGTGTGCACATATATAATTAATATGTAAATGTGTGTACATATAACTAATACAGATACATATATGTATGTATGTAAAGCAGATATTCAAAACAGGAAACAGAAATGACTACAAATTATATTAAAAGATTTTCAAGGAGCTGGGGAGATGTCTCAGCATGTAAGAGCACTTGCTGCTCAAGAATGAGAGCCTTAGTTCAGATCCTCAGTATCAATGTACAAAGGCCATGCCCACAGCGCTGCACAGGGGCAGGAAACAGGAAAATCACCCAGCCAAGGGTCAGTGAGATCCTGACTTAGGGAAGAAGGTAGAGAGTGACGGAGCAGGGCGCCTGCTGTCGTAAGAGCCTTCATCTTTAGAGCAGCTGTGATCACTTGCCACAGACTGTCACAATCAGCCTTGTCAATGTCCATCACAGACCAGAAGACAGGGACAGCATCAGCCCTTAGCTGAGATTTCCTCTGCTCACTCCCTCAGCTCTGAGCCATCTACATGCAATTCTGCACCCAACCTTGTGGTCTTGGGAGGTCTTAGCGCATACAGGAGGGGAAAGGTTCCCTGAAGGGGGACTCTGACGTGTGTAGCTATGAGGAAACTGTCATCTGTGCTGGGTGAGACTTGCTGGTGGTACAATTGTTAGGAGTCATTCACTCTGGGAAAAACAAACGAACTCTACAACTATGCTTTGTAAGAAAGCTAAACAAATTCTGGTTCACCAAGTTTGATTTTGGTGACATCACTGTGCAGTGCTTTGTCATCAGAGTCACTTTAAGACAGAGGTGGACATTTATCTCCCCAAGGAAGAGTTCCCAGAACAACAAAAGATAAACCCCGCACTCATCAGTTAGAAAAAAAACAGATCAAAACACCCTCCACAATGTAACACATGGCACGGTATAGAATACATATAAGAAAAGAACTCAATTTAAAGTATTTTTTGTTTTTCTAATAAATAAGATATGTTAAGTAACACACTCATCATTTTCTAATAAAGAAAAGATCTGAGTGTGATAGCACATACTAGTAATCCTAGTATTTGGGAAGTTGAGGTAGGAGGATTACTGGAAATCTGAGGTTACCCCTAAGCCACATAAGGCCATACAGAGACCCTGTCTCAAAAAAGAAAAAGGCTGAAGAGATGGCTCAGCCATTCAAGACCAGGTTCACAACGATAAGAGAAAGAACTGGGTAGATGGCTTAGTGGGTACCAGGCTTGTTACACAAGCATAAAGACCAGACTTGACATCCCCAGGAGGTAGATAAAAGCCAGGCAAGTGTGGCAGCTACCTGTCACCCCAGCACTTGGAAGCACAGAGGATCTCGGGAGCAAGGAAGCCTAGTCATGATTGTGAGCTCTCAGGAAGACACTAAACATCAACTTTAGGCCTTTGAATGCTTGTGCATGCACACATGCAAACATATAACATGTATATATACCACACATGCATACATATGCAAAAAACAACAACAAAAGATTCAACATTGCAAATATGATCAGGACACAAAATCCAAATATATCAACAGCTTAACCAACACAGTATCACTGCTTACCAAGCAGTGAGAGACACATAGAACAAAGAAGTTTTATTGTTTAAATTTTTTAAATGCTACTATAATGTAGCAGATTGGAACTGCACAATCATAATGGCATGAACAGGGTGTAAGCCACACAAATAAACAATTTAAATATGGCCTTTATTATAAACAGGCACTCTTCTGGCTTTAATGTAATAATAACCATGATGCAACATTCATGGATCTGTATGGGACAGTCTGGAAAGTGACTGCAAGTCAAATGATAAAGATCAGAAATTTATGATCTGTGCCAAAGTTATGGAACAGGGGAACCAAGGCAACATCTGCTACAGATAGATGGAAAAACTCTGTAGAAAAATATACATGAGGAAATATATTTAAAAATAAGACCATCTGTTGTAGAATATTATTTTAAGGTGTGTTACTTTTGTTTATGTTGCATTTGTTTAACTATGTGGAGCTGTGTTACTGTGCCCGTCTGAAACACCTGATGGTCTAATAAAGAACTGAACTGCCAATAGCAAGGCAGGAGAAAGGATACGCAGGGCTGGCAGGGAGAGAGAATATACAGAGGAAGAAATCTGAGAGAGAAAAAAGAGAAGTAGCCAGAGAAGGACTCCAGGGGCCAGCCACCCAGCTACACAGCAAGCCACGGAGAAAGAGTAAGATTTACAGAGTAAGAGAACGGGAAAAGTCCAGAGGCAAAAGGTAGATGGGATAATTTAAGTTAAGGAAAGCTAACAAGAAACAAGCCAAGCTAAGGCCGGGGAATTAACAAGTAAGAATAAGCTTCCATGAGTGATTTATTTATTAGGCGGTAAGCAAGCTCCTGTACAATACTAAAGAACAATGGGTTTGTGCCCATCAGCGTAACTGTGTGAACACTCGGACAGTGAATGCAGTCAGTTCCACCCACTCAGTTTTATATATGCTCAATCCACTCATCTCTTTCTTTGTAAAGCCATCAGGCTGGAGGGATGGCTCAGTAGACAAGAGCACATGCTGCTCTTGCAGAGGGTTGGAGTTCAATTCCCAGTAGCTAACAACTACCTATAACTCTAGCTCAAGGGGATCTGAGAACCTTCTGGCCTATACAAACATGGTGTACATACAGTCAGGAACAAACATAAATAAAAATATAAAAAAATCTTTATAAGAAGGAAAAAATTCAAAGTTTAGATATTATTTAACCCCTCATATCCACATCATGGTATGTCTGGCTTCAGACATACCAGAAAGAAGAAGGGCAAGGATGAGACAGGATCTACTCGAGTGGCTGAGAGTAGGCGTTAAGCAAAAAAAGATAAACTAAGAGCAGTCATGAACTTGAGCTATATAGCCCAATTTTAAAAATCAAAATTATTTCCACAGTGTTTTTGCAATACTAAACTCATAATTTTACAAGACTCAAAGGCAGCCAGTGAGAAGTCCCATAATTCTTAGCAGATAATCTTACAGCACCATCTTCTGGCATGGCATCACCAAGCACAGTCTAACAGGAGGAAGAGTCATCCTGTTGTTACACTGGTTCCACATAAGAAAGCTTATGGTCCATGAAGGTAAATATTCAATATGCAAACTAAACAAAACTGTCATCTGCTCTATCAGTTCTGTTTCTCTAGAGAACCCTGACTAATACATCAACAGAGCACTGGTTGCACTCAGTTCTGGGAGACAAACTGAATTAAAAAATCAAGATTGGCCGGGTAGTGGTGTCGCATGCCTTTAACCCCAGCACTTGGGAGGCAGAGGCAGATGGATCTCTGTGAGTTCGAGGCCAGCCTGGTCTGTAGAGCAAGTTCCAGGACAGCTAGGACTATTACACAGAGAAACTCTGTCTCCAAAAATCTGAAAAAATAAAAAATAAATATCAAGATCTTTGTAAAGACTCAGAAAATGGAAAGCTAAAAAGAAAAAGTTTACCTGATGGATATAATAGAATATAGTGTGATACGCACACACCCGCAAAACACAGAAGAGGGACTCAGATCCCCTGGAGCTGGAATTGCAGGCAGTAGTGAGCTGCCTGATATGGATGCTAAAAGCTCCTCACTGTCTAGTATAAGAGTTCCTAATCACTGGGCATCTCTCCAGCCCCCCAGTGTAGTTTAGGTCTTAAATGATTTCAGGAGAAAGGGGAACTGCAATCGACCGCCGTCATCATCCAGTTACCTTAAAGTACTTCCTCCTCATCCGAGTCAAGTTCATCAGCATCACTCCAGAGTTCACGCCCGTCTTCCCATAGTACGGATGCCGAGCAAAGCGATTATACCATCCAATTCGAGGCTCCTCATGCTCTGGTGCCATCGCAGCAATTTGTGTGGAATTAAATTTCTTTAGTAATGACCAAATATCATCGACAGGTCGTAAAAAAAGGATATCAGTGTCAACATACAACAGTGAATCAACTTCTTTCAGGATTAACTATGAGGAGAGATATTTAAATAATTAGTTATAAATATATCTATTTAATAAAAGCATAGTAACAGAAATTATACCTAACAAGCCAATTTACAATGTTTTAAAGTAATTTTTCTGAAATTCGTCATTTTTGATACATGCATATATACTTTGCTAATTTTTTTCACCTTTTTAAAGAAAAGTTAGAAAAACAAACCCTAATTTAAAAAAAAAAAAAAACTTCAACACTTACAGTGAGAATAAAAAGAATATGAAAAGTCAGGAGAAAACCATTTTTCAAGTAACAGAATACACTAAGTTAAGGTAGATTCATACCCTGAGTCTTAACAGCAGGTAAATACAAACACAAATAAGGCAATGTAACTGAAGGTCTCCTAGACCCGTCCCCTCCACTGAACACTGGCACTGCTCACTCCAGGACCACTACCAAGTGCAAGGACAAACTGGGCCCAAGACATCTGCTCCAGTCTCTGCTCCTGTTTCTAGACACACCGTCAACATATCAAAACCACACACTCAGGAAGAACACAGAGAGAAGCAGACTTTTATTTCAAAACTGAGACTGACTCTGTTATACTTGTAAAATTGTAAATCTCCACTTTGTAAAATTGTAAAGCCCTCCATGAAGATTTTTCAAAGATAAGTTTTCGTTTTTCCTTACAAACTTTTAAAATATGACTCTTGCAAATTTAAATTTGTTGCCTATCCTGGTATATCCATAAAACTCAATGATTAGGTTAACCTAGTAGGAGTGTCCAACCTTTTGGCATGTGCAATATGACATCATCCACCAAGTTCACACACTGGAGGACCATGTGATCCAGTTATCAAAAGTGAAAGAAATAGTCTCATAATGTTCTATGCAAGTTTATAACTCCATAATGGCTGTATTCATGGCTAACCCCTATTCATATACGGCTGATGTGCCTGAAACATTTTAGTTAAGACACAATGAGAACAAGATTTGATCCTCCTTCTGCTACTCTGCAAATCTGTTACCTTTCCTGAAATCCCCACTCCTCTCTCAAGCTGCCACAGGCTAGTTTAGTAGCGAATAGAGAGAATACCTGACAGTGATGGCTGAACCTTACTGGGGAAGTCCCCTTCCTCAGAGACCACAGTTAGAGGAAATAAGCAAGGCTGTATCTCCCCACTGTCGGGAAGGGTGGAAACTGTTCTTGGGGGTGCTGATGGCTTTTGTGGGTTTTTGTTTTGTTTTTGAATCTTGTTATAGAGTCCTGGTTGGCCCTGTGCGATAGTTCATCTCGGTTGTCAATATGACTGCATCTGGAATCAACTAACACCAAAGCAGCTAGGCACACCCGAGAGGGATAGTTTTTGATTGGACCACTTGAGGGTGAAAGACTAACCCTAAATCTGAGCCATACCTTCTAGAGGTAGCCTACATAAAAGGACACAGAAGGAAGCTTTTGTGTTTTGTTTGCCTGCACTCACTCTTGTTGGCAAGTTCATCTGCCCTGCTGCTGAGGCATTAATTTACAGGCACTGAAACCTACTTCTTTGGAATTCCAATACAGACTCAAGACCCGCTGAGACATCCAGCCTTCTCGACTGAACAACTACTAGATTCTTGGCATTTCTGTCAGGAGACGGCCATTGTTGGACTTGCCAGGTGACAGGCATAAGCCACTCTAATACATTCCCTTTTAATATACACAGATTTATTATTATTATTATTATTTTGGTTTTCTCTGTGTAGCTTTGCGTACAGATCTTGCTCTGTAGACCAGGCTGGCCTTGAACTCAGAGTTATTCTATCAGTTAGATTCCTCTAGAGAACCCAAACTAACACCCTGGAATTCAATATATAGCCCAGGCTGGACTGAAGATCCCTAGGCTCTTCCTGCCTCAGCCTCCCAAGGAATGCTGGATCACAGAACTGAGTATGCCAGAATACACCATCTGTACAGATGAACATTCGAAGAAAACTACAAAGACACTACTTAGAACTTCAAAACCAGGCCTGGTGCTATGGGCCCTATAACACCCAACTAGCCAAGAAGCTGATGTAAGAGGATACTGAATTCAAGGCCAGCCTGAGTAATTTGGGGGGACTCTATTACAGTAAGTAAAAAGAAGGCTTCAAGTACAGCTCAGTGGTAGGTTACTTACCTCACATGTGTGAGACCTGGATTGTTCCCCAGCACCACAAAAAAAAAAAAAAAAAAAGAAAATGTGTGTGTGTGTGTGTGTGTGTGTGTGTGTGTGTGTGTGTGTGTGTGTGTAGAGAGAGAGAGAAACATGAATAAAATCAAACAGCTTCAAGCTCAACACCAACATACACAATCTCATAGTGACTGTGTCTAGGTTCTCCTGGGGTTCCTTGGGCATAGAAGGTATGGATACAGGGTACATTGGTGACTATCTAGGTTCTCCTGGGGTTCCTTGGGCATAGAAGGTATGGATACAGGGCACATTGGTGACTATCTAGGTTCTCCTGGGGTTCTTTGAGAACAGAAGGTACAGACAGGTACAGGGCACATTAGTGACTGTGTCTATGTCTTCCTGGGGTTCCTTGGGCATAGAAGGTACGGGTACAGGGCACATTAGTGCTTTCTTCTACTTTAAAGGAAAGGAATCTCAGCAAAAGTTTGTCATTAGGAGATAAAAGCATCAATTTACTTAAATCTTGTTAAAAAGATCAAGTAACAGTAAGGTATAAGGACAAGTAAAGGTTTCAAATAATTTAGTGCTTAAATTCCATGCAAGACTCTAACCCAAGAGCATGAAAATGATCCAGTAAATTCAGTTAAAACATCAGCAATAAAACTTAGTAAGTACAAGTAGCAGAGAACTCCCTAACCATGCTTTTCTTTCATCAGGCACTATTTTCAGTAATGAACGTGTGTAACCACCTGTCTAATGTCTACGTCTTCCATCAGACAATAAGCTTCATGGAAACAGGAAGCCTGTATCTTTCCAATATATCCCCATGCACCTTGACACTTAAGCTGACCAGGAGAAACTACCCAGACTCACATACAAAATAGCTGTGACAGTGCAGTAACTCCATGTAAGACTCACATAAAGCCAGGAATGGTGGTGTACACCTTCAATCCCAGCACCCAGGAGGCAGGGGCAGCTGGATCCCCAAGTTCAAGACAAGCCAAGTCTACATATTGAGTTCCATATCAACCAGGACTAAATAATGAGACCCTGCCTAATAATAATAATAATAATAATAATAATAATAATAATAATAATAATAATAATGTTCATATTAAAAGCTTACAAAGTCTAAAAAATCTTAGATTTTTCCTCATTTGTGTGTTTTAACAGCAGAAAGGAAAATAGACAAAGATTCTGGGATATAAATTTTTTAAGCATAGCCTCAAAGGTCTCTGTTGAAGCCAATCTGACCACCAGAATCCTAACATGAAACCTAACCTTGTGACCCAACACACAGAAGGCTGAGGCAGGAGGATCACCTCCAGTTTCAGACCAGTCTAAGTTACAGGAGACCATCTCAAAACAAACAAAAACTCAAACAAATGGGCTGAAGAGACGGCTCAATGGTTAAGACTGATTCCTGCTCTCCCAGAGAGCCTGAGTTCAGTTCCCAGCATCCACATCTAGCAACTCACAATCACCTTAACTCCAGCTCCAGGGAACCTAATGTCCTCTTCTGACCTCCAAAGGCACCTACATGTACACACACACATATACATGTGCATAAATAAATATAAAACAATAAACATTCAAGAAATACTCAAATAAAAATAATCACAACTTAAATGTATAGTGGATATGTTTGGGGATGGTAAACTATATTCCTAATTTACTCAGCTGCTTTGACCACTTAACAAGCAGCAGGAACTGAAGGTTCTTCCCTATAAGTTTTCCAGGGACTTACACCTTTTTTTTGGAAACATAGTCTATTATGTAGCTCTGGCTATCCTGTATCTATGCAGGCCAAGCTGGCCTTGAAACCCCAAAGATCCTTCCTGCCTCTGCCTCAAATGCTGGCACTAAAGGTGTGCACCACTCCTGGCAGAACTTACACTGTTAACATCAACATTTGTACTACCATAAGCTTGCTCTATCTATCTATCTATCTATCTATCTATCTATCTATCTATCTATCTATCTATCTATCTATCTATCTATCTATCTATCTATCCCATCCATCCATCCATCCATCCATCCATCCATCCATCCATCCATCCATCCATCCATCCATCTATTTATTTTAAGTGGAGCAGCTAAATGTTGTTTGTTGACTGCTTTTCTTTTCTTTCCTTTTTTTTTTTTTTTTGAGACAGGGTTTCTCTGTAGCTTTGGAGCTCGTCCTGGACTTGCTCTATAGACTAGGTTGGCCTCGAACTCACTGAGATCCACCTGCCTCTGCCTCCCAAGTGCTGGGATTACAAGCGTGCACCACCACCGCCCGGCTGTTGACTGTTTTTCAAAACAGGAGTTCTCTGTGTAGCCCTGGCTGTCCTGGAACTCATTCTGTAGACCAGGCTGGCCTTGAACTTGAAGATGCACTGCCTCTTCCTGAGCGCTGGGATTAGAGGCATGCGTCATCACTGTCCAGCTACTACCATAGGCATCTGATTTATTTTTAAACTGAATATCCCACAAGAATTTTAAACATTAAGAGTTGGAAAAACTACTGTGAATTTTAAATTTTAAGTGAAATCAATTCAAACTTCAGGTATCTTTAGACTTTACCAAGGTCACCGAAGAAGTGCTCTAGTAAGCAAATGGCTCCCGCTGTCTGAGCTCTCCTGCCTTACAGTTGTATGACTCAACTATCACCCAGGAAAGGGAAGCTAACTGGGCCTAAGACAGAAATGTCATCAGTGACTTCCCAAACTGCACATGCAGCCGGAGCCTGCAGGTCACACTCTCTATTGAGACCTGACCAGCATTCCTTCCCAAAGTTAAAACAGCTCACAGCAACTATGTGTAAGAAATGCTGTTTTAACAGAAATTACAAAAAACAAAAACAAAAAAAAACCCTCTGTTTCTCAGTGTTGAGGATCAGCTCTACCACTGAGCTAAATCTGAAGCCCCCAACTTTTCACCTTTTAGGTCCTTATTACAGCCCTGACTTGTTCTATGGAAACTTTTTTCTCATACTGACATGTGTCTTTGTTTACTTAATGAGGTTTATATGTGATTATTCAGAAACTCTTCTGTGGAGGTTTGAATAGGAACGCCTCCACAGGCTCACAGATTTGAATGCTTGGTCCCCAGGGAGTGCACTATTAGGAGGTGTGGCCTTGTTGGAGGAAGTGTGTCACTGGAAGTAGGCTTTGAGTTTCAGATGCTCAAGCCAGGACCAGTGTCTCTCTTCCTGCTGCCGTCAATCCAGATGCAGAACTCTCAGCTCCCTCTCCAGCACCACGTCTGCCGGCACTCCGCCACGCTTCCCATCAAGGCGACAATGGACTAAACCTCTGAACCCGTGAGCCGGTCCCTGTTAAATGTTTTCCTTCATAAGAGTTGCCATGGTCACGGCGTCTCTAAGACATCGTCTGTATAAAATTTAGTTTCAAATTTAAAATAGGAAAAGAAAACACTGGGAGGGACCGCTCACCGGCAAGAAGAGCCTCTGGGAAGCACACGGCTTAAAGAGCTTCTTCCACTCCACGGCGCTGTCGCTCGGGAAGGTGATAGGGTACAGCGTATAGTTAAATCTTTGCAGAAATGACCAGCTGTCAAGCTAAAAACACAAACAGGAATTAAAGTTAAAAACACAAACCAATGTAGATTTGTTTTACTTTCAACTTCTCTGTGACGTCATCAAACAAAAGCCCCAAAACAAAAATGCTAAAACTTACTCCACATTTTAAGTCACACAGTTAAAAGGTTCTTTTCCATTACTTCCTCTGTTCCCATTTCAAATCTGAAAGTCTTAATGGTATGCTACACTTCACTGTAAGATCTAAGGCAGAATGGATGTTTTAAGTCACTGTTCAGGGTCACTGAGATGGATCAGTCCATAGAGCACAGAGTGAGAATCTGGGCTCAGGTCCCTAGCACAGTCCTGGGAGGGGACAAGGGTGAGAATCTGGGCTCAGGTCCCTAGCACAGTGCTGGGAGGGGACAAGAGGGCAACCAGGGCTTGCTCAGTAGCCAGACTGCCTCCCTCCCTGCCAAAAAAAAAAAAAAAAAAACCATTGAATTCCAGGCCGAAAGTGGCTGAGTGCCCACACAGGTGCTTGTCGCTAAGCCCAACAGTCCAAGTTTGATTGCCCTTCCTTTCACTCATGTGAATTTTCTCAATCCTAAACAAATTAAAATCAGAAAAATTAAACACTCAATTACCATAGTATATATTATACAAAAAATGTTCACATTAAGGGTCAGACTAATATAACACTAATTTAGTCCACTTAGGTAACGTTTAGATGTGTCCTGGTATTCCTAAAAAACTATTCTGATACATACTTATCCAGTGCCAATTTTAAAAACCATTAGACACCCAAAATACATTTTAAAAAAATCTACATTGAGTATTGCTCTTTAATGTCCTGAACTCACTTGGAAACACTGCCTTGGTCCAGACTCGGTTAAATATAATCTACCACTGCTGCTTCAACAGCACAGCCTCCCGACAGGCTCAGGCTCCTGTGGCTAAAACAAGACTGAGACCCCAGAGGCAAGTCTCAAATCCCGGGCTCCTGCCTCCGCCTCCTAACTAACTGCAATGATGAGCACAGGGCAACAAGCCCAGCTTTAGAATTTTCAGTTCAAATTACCCAAAGAGCACAGAGAAATGACCAGGGGGAGATGGGGTATAGTTTACACCAACAGAAATGACTGGGGGAGATGGGGTATAGTTTACACCAACAGAAATGACTGGGGGAGATGGGGTATAGTTTACACCAACAGAAATGACCGGGGGAGATAGGGTATAGTTTACACCA